GCTGATGATGTCCTTCTTTTGGATAAGACTTGAGAAATAGTTATGGTGAAGCTTGAATCATGGAGGTCTGCTTTGGAGTTTAAGGTCCTTTGTTTGAGTAGATTTAAAACTGAATACATAGAATGTAGTTTTAGTGGTAGTAGATCTAGTGGTAAAGTTATGACAGTGGCTAATAAAATTATTAAAAGAAGTGAATGTTCTAGATATCTCGGGTCTCTTGTTCAAATTGACTGTGCTATAGATGGGGATGTTATAGTAGAATTAAAGTTGGATGGTTGAGTGGAGGAATGCATCCGACCTATTGTGTGATAGAGAAACAACGTTTAGATTTAAGGGAATGGTGGTAAAACCTGCAATACTTTATGGCACAGAATGTTGACCTATAAAAGAAAAGCATAAAACTAAGTTTTGCTAGCATGAGAATGCTTTGGTGGATGAGTGGCTTTACACTTAAGGATAAAATGTTAAATAAATATATCCATGAAAGAGTTTGTGTAGCTTCAGTGACAAACAAAATTAGAAAGAGTCATCTTAGATGGCTTGGTCATATTAAACGACGACCATCTGATGATCGGGTTAGGAGAATATATGTTTTGGATTCAACTTTTGTTAAGAAAGGCCGAGTTAGAACTAAAAATACACAAGCATGATGTATTAAAAATTATCTTAATTCATTAGAATTAAATGAAAATATGTCACTTTATAAAGACAAAGGACTCATGTAGTCGACCCCAGTCAATGGGTAAAGGCTTGATTTTATCATTGTTATTGTAAATATCATATTTTAGATGTTAGATGTTAGATATGTAAATAGAAGGGAATCGCATGGTATATATAAAAAAATACCTCAGAGATGCTTTAGAATCTACATAGGATAATTTTTTATTGTCTTATCTTAGCGTATTTTACATGGGAAAATCTTGAAAAGAGAAAAAACCACCGGGTCTAGTCCAGTCAAAGTAATCAACTATGTGATTGTAAGTGCATATATTAACTCTTATCATGAATTAGGGAAGATGAAATTACAAAATTAATAATTATAAATGTAGAATAGGAGTCCAATTTTAATTGTCATAATTGGGTGGCAACAATTGTAGTTTTTGCTGCAAAAGTAGTATAACGATGGTTGGGTTGTAAGGGTTGTAGTTGATTGCTAAAAAAGAATTGTTTGCAACAAATGCTATCGTCGATGGTTGTAATAACATTAATTTATAATATATGTCATAATTAAAAGTCATAATAGTAGTTGGTAGCTGGATGAGTGTCGGTTGGCCATAGAAGTCGTAACTGGAAGCTGCAGTAGCAGTATACAATGCAGATCATAGTTGGTCATGTTGGTCATAATAGGGAGTTGCAATAGCATTAGTTAGCCATAAATATCATAGTTGGAAGCTGTAGTAACAATGTGCAACATATGTCGTAGTTGATCACATGATCGTAGTTGGGAGCTAAAATAACATCAATTAGCTACAAAGATCATAGTTGGAAGTTGTAGTATTAGATGACCATATAGGTAGTCATTGGTCACATTGGTCATAATGGATAGCTATAGTAGCAACATTTGACAATCACTTGGCCACAAATATTGTAGTTGGAAGTTGTAGAGTAATTCATTGTATAGGTTATAGTTGGTCACATAGGATATAGTGAAGAGTTATAATAATATCAATTGGTCACAAAAGTCATTGTAGAAGTTGTGTTAATAATTGTAAATCTAAGCCATAACTAGTCACATAGGTTGTAGTGGGTAGTTGCAGTAGCATCATTTGGTCATAAAATATATAGTTGGAAGTTACAATGGTAGTGAGCTGCATAGGTTGTAGTGGGTCATATAGGTTGTAGTGGAGAGCTAGCCACATAAGTCATAGTTGGTCACATAGGTCATAGTGGAGAGCTACAATAGCAATTAACCACATAAGTTTTAGATAATCATATAGACTGTAGTGGTGAGCTACAGTCTATATGATTATCTAAAAGTAGTATAACGATGGTTGGGTTGTAAGGGTTGTAGTTGATTGCTAAAAAAGAATTGTTTGCAACAAATGCTATCGTCGATGGTTGTAATAACATTAATTTATAATATATGTCATAATTAAAAGTCATAATAGTAGTTGGTAGCTGGATGAGTGTCGGTTGGCCATAGAAGTCGTAACTGGAAGCTGCAGTAGCAGTATACAATGCAGATCATAGTTGGTCATGTTGGTTATAGTAGGGAGTTGCAATAACATTAGTTAGCCATAAGTATCATAGTTGGAAGTTGTAGTAACAATGTGCAACATATGTCATAGTTGATCACATGATCGTAGTGGGGAGCTACAATAACATCAATTAGCTACAAAGATCATAGTTGGAAGTTGTAGTATTAGATGACCATATAGGTAGTCATTGGTCACATTGGTCATAATGGATAGCTATAGTAGCATCATTTGACCACAAATATTGTTTGGAAGTTGTAGTAGTAATTCATTGTATATGTTATAATTGGTCACATAGGATATAGTGGAGAGTTATAGTAATGTCAATTGGTCACAAAAGTCATTGTAGAAGTTGTGTTAATAATTGTAAATCTAAGCTATAACTAGTCACATAGGTTGTAGTGGGTAGTTGTAGTAGCATCATTTTGTCATAAGAGATATAGTTGGAAGTTACAGTGGTAGTGAGCCGCATAGGCTGTAGTCGGTCATATAGGTTGTAGTGGAGAGCTAGCCACATAAGTCATAGTTGGTCACATAGGTCATAGTGGAGAGCTACAATAGCAATTAACCACATAAGTTTTAGATAATCATATAGATTGTAGTGGTGAGCTACTGTGATAATTAGCCGCATAGGTTGTAGTTGGTCACATTGGACGTAATGAAGAGTTCTAGCAACAATTAGCCACAATGACCATAGTTGGTCACATAGGTCGTAATGTGGAGTTGCATTAGCAAATAGTCACATAGGATATAGTGGGGAATTGCAGTGGTACTAGTTGGCCACAATGGTCATAGTTGTAAACTAAAGTAATAGTGAACACATAAGTCGTAGTTAGTCATATAGGTTGTAATAGGGAGTTACAATAGCGCCAGTTGGTCACAAAAGTTAAAGTTGAAAGCTATAATAGCAGTGAGCAACATAGGTCGTATTTGGTCATATAAGTCGTAGTGGAGAGCTGCAATAGAAGCAGTTGCCTATATCATAAGGAATTTGATCCAGAACAACTCAGTAATTCAACTCATTCTCCTCCCCTCAAGTGAAGAAATGATTTTTTTTTTTATCTAGGCTTTGGAGGAGGGGCATTTTAGTTATTTGGCCAATAACTCACTCTTGTCGAGAGGCTTGATTTAACTATATGCATGTAAAATTCTGAATTCATTGGACCCTCTAATTAACCACACAAAACCTCCAAATATAGTTCATTGACCTGATTTGCGCTTCGATTGGACTCGGATTGGACCAATTCTGTGTCATTGGGTTCGTCTTGTCGAGACAGACAGTTTGACTATAAACTTGAGTTCTGGATGATCTTTTTATTTAAATCAAAACATTTCATGCTAAAAAAGCCTCAACATTCGTGCCAAATGATGAAGTTTTGTGCTGATGTATTATGCATACATACACTAACACACACATACACATACATATATACATCTATATACATATACAACCCCACCTTAATTATGCATGTAAATGTGTATTTCACTTTTTAAAAGTAAAAAATAATAATAATATTTTTCGTGATATGAAAGAACTGGAGGATATATATATAAATATGAAAGTAATGGAGGATATAGATGCAATTTATGCATTAAATATTGATATATATATATATATATAAATATGAAAGAAATGGAGGATATAGATGCAATTTATGCATTAAATATGTAAAAAAATATAAGAAATGGGTAGCATGCATGCAAACATTGCATCTATTAAAAAGGAATCCCTCAGCCCTCTTTTCTCACAGTGGGTGGTCTAAACAGTCAAAAGCTATTTTAATTTTTCCTTCATTTTTTCTTTTCTTGAGTTGTTGAGCTCTTTCTCTCGTAGGATATTCTAAATCTTAATTCTCAACTAGTTTTAAGCTTGAAAATAAATAAAATATACATTTTATTTATATAATAATTTATTATTTATATTTATATATAAATTTAAATAATAGCAGCTCGTTTGGCTTGTGTGCTCGTAAAATTCCGTGTCTTTTATTGCACAGAATTGATGTAGATTTAAATCCAACTCTTTACATCTAATTTTTCAGTAAACTTAAATAAGTCAAATTTGAATGGAATACAAATACACTATTCACGAACAATTTTAAACACGAGCTAATTTCAAACTGATCGAGCATAAGACCCGCTTAAGTGAGTCCCAAAAACCTATGATTTTACTTTTGAAATAACAATATATGAATATATTCAAATCTAATAAAAAAATTAATAGATCATATATATATAATAAACTTGCGGCAGAAGGTGTTGACCCACGGAATAAAGATGTCAGATTCAAGTGGTTCGAACCACGAATATGTCAAAAAGCTAATATTCAATAGTCAAATAAAGAGGGCCGAACATTTAATACTTATTTCTAGAAGGTTACATTTGTTATAAAAATCAAACGATTAAATCATTAAAGCCCATTTTTGCAAACATGAACATATTTACAAACTTCTCCCTCAATGATCCACAAAAAAAATAAAAATTTACATAGACAAATAAACTTCAATTTTTAAAAATTAAAATGATAATATTTCTAAATGATTTAATGGTATAAATATAAGAAATTAAGTTCAGACATTAGAGATGTAAATACATAAAAATTGGTGGGTATATATGTAAATGCACCAAAACTAAAAAATAAATCACTTGGTTATCTCAAATTTAAAATTTTACAATTTTAACTTATTTTCTACAATCAAATAAAATTTGCTGAAAATTCAATATTTACATAGAAAATAAAGATTCAAAATCATGCATTTACAAACTTTTGCAAAACAATAAAAAAAAGTTATATTCAGCTAAAATTTTAACATAATACTGAAATCACAACTACGTCTAAACAAAACACGAGCATGGTCGGCACACATTCGTACAACAACAATGATTAAGCCACATCACCATATATTTCATATGATTCGATTTCATCTGATCAGACTTGGTGTCTGGTATCTGGTGTCTGGATGCAATAATTTCTCCATATATTAAATAAAAAAAAAAACTGGTAAATCTGCAAAAACAATTCGTATGAAGATTTCCATTAGGAGAAATTACTGAATCCCTTGGTAATGCTGCGAATGGCCGGATTGAACTGCAAGCAACTAAAGAACCCCTCCCTCTGATAAGGCAAAGGAGTCTTCTTCCTCATCTCCCCCGCCGCCGCTCTGTTCGCCGTATAATGTATTTCATGGGCGGAAGCCGGCGGCCTACCGCCCCTTCTCACCGATCCGCTGCCGCTTTCCGTCGATCTAAAGCTCCCACTGTTCGAATCTTCTTCTTCTTCCTCCTCTTCACCCTTCTTCTTTCTCTTCGATGAGAAGGAGCTGAAGGAGGAAAGCAGAGTATACTTCCGCAGAGGATCTCTGCTTCCTCTTCCTGTAGCCCTCCCTTCCGACGCGCTTCGAAACAAAAGTAAATCTTTCAGCCTCCATTTCTTGCCGCCGCCGCCGCCGCTGCCGCCGCTGGGGA